ACAAGATAAAAAAGTTTTCTGCAGATACTAAATTTTAAAGAACAGCTTTTTTTCCCTCTTAATTTGGCATTCAACTATTCATCAGGGTAAGGAACAAGTGACTTGGCAGATAATTCAGGACATATGGCTTTGAAGAACTGGTGATTTAAAAGTACTTTCACAAGTTTCCTCAACTCATTCACCTTAATTTGTGTTATTCTCTTTTACGTGTGCTCTAGCACCTGGTTCAGCTAAAAAAAGTGTAGAAAATATAATGCAAGTGATGAAATAACCTTTTCCTGAGTTGTATTAATGTATACCACAAAAACCTCACTCACAAACTGAGTAACAGAAGGAGTCAAATACAATTCAAAGCTGTTAAACATACATGCCTCATCTGTAGTCACCAGGTGGCACCAGATGTATCCATATATTGATAATCAGCTTAAAACCACTGTAACCCATGTGGTCTTTGAAATGCAAAGCACATCACGTATGGATATTAGGTAGATTCCAATAGCTGAGTGGTCAGTAGACTAGAGAGTTCAGATATAACTTCAACAAGATCTGACTGGTTTTGGTTTTTGGTTTTGTTTTGGGTTTTTTTTGAGGAGGAAGTATTAAGGAGTAAGATTCAGTGGCAACTCCTAATTTTGAAGATATTGGTTGGAAAACTTCTCCAAAAATGCAAACATATATTATTTTAACTAAATGCACCGATTCTTGGTCAGAATTAACATCTTTTTACATTTTTCCTCCTTTTCTTTTTAAACATTTAAATGTTTAAAGAATTAAATTCTGGAGAAAAGTCAGTTCTTTCAAAAGATACATTTCAGCTACCCTGAAGAACTGCAGCTTTCCGTTGATACAAGAGGACATTTTTTTCTGACTTTCTGACATTGTCAATGAGCTCTTGAATTATGTGGGAAATCCTATGCTTTAAAATTCTGTCATTTTACAAATATAATCACATTATTGTATGAGGGTGAAGCTGAAATTAGCTATGCATCGTACATAGTATATTAACTCGTGAATATAAAAAAATAGTGAGAGCTAATTGATTTACTTGTAAATCATGAATCAGATCAGTTTTTTTCTGCATTTGAATGTTCATAACTTTCAGCACTAATGAAATATTTGGGAATCTAAACTGTTTCTTGAGCTTGGCAGTATTTAGCACATGCATTTTTCTTATTCCTTGTTATCCGTCTCCTCTGTGAACAACTTTTCATCAGGGGCAAAAAAAAAACAACAAAAGGGTGAAATCTTGACCTCACTGAATCAATGGCAAAACTCCCACTAACTTCAAGGGGCCAGGTTTTTACCACACATGTCCAGCTTTACACAAAGAAGGAAAACCAAACAGGCAGAGATATCATTTTATCAGAAGCACAGAGTCTGAAAATGAATCATCATCTAAACAATATGGCAAATGTTTACAAATAAAAACTAATCAAAAAAAGTCAAGCTGTAGTTTGAAATGGAGTTTCAAAAGGAACTTGATTCTCTAGGGAAAAAACCTTATCTTTCTATCTGAACACTGAAAATATAAATTTTACTATATAATTCTAAGCATCCAGGTTTCATATCTTTAGCCTATTGTAATGATTTCTCAGCCAGCAGGTACTTTTGATTATATTAAATATTCACAGTTGTATCAGCTTCATTGCAGCAAAACGCTTACTGCAAAAATGTAATCCACATTTACATTCTCTTCAGCATGACCTGTTCCTAAAAATGAACCAATGTGATCATCTACATATCATCTATATATGACACCCACAGAAGCTTAATGGTTGTTGGGATCCCCAGTGCAAACAATGGCATGCATGTGTAAATAATCAATTTGTTTAAAGGCCATTTCTTTGCAAGCACTGGCTTGCAAGCAGTATTTGCATTTGCAGTGGGCAAGCCTAGCCTCGTACAGACACAAAAGAAGATGTCTTTGTTTCAAATGATTTGTGATACACTGTAGTATGCACCCAAAAAGTAAGCCTATCTTTCATCTGCTATAGCATGAGTGAAAAGAGAATATAACTTAGCTTTTGTAAAACACTTTGCTAGATTAAATCTGAGAAGGATGTTAACACTATTACCCCACAAGGAAACCAAGGAAGAGAAGAAGCAGCACTCTTCATACCAGCCAGCAGCGGAGTGTGGCACTGAAACAACGTGCTTAAGCTCCAGCCCAGAGAGCTAGCCTCTAGTTTGGAGTAAAGCAGTTTGTGGCTAATTTAACACTGTAGTATGCTCCCAAAAAGTAAGCCTATCTTTCATCTGCTATAGCATGAAGCTCACCTAAAACAAGTCTTACTATTTGTATTCAAGTGTTTCCATTACAGTAGCTGTGGCACTGTAATGGAAAAAAAGTAGTCCTGAAAGTCTAAAAAACAGCCTGAAATTTAGGTACCTAGGGTAAGGTAAATTTGTAGACTCTTTCTCTAGCTAGTCCAAAAAGTGGTTTATGCCATCTTAAGATAAGTAATTGAGAAAGACAGCATGAGTTGCTCTCCAGTGATCTCCATTTTTCTCCATTGGTAAGGGGAGCCCAGGCAGCCAGATCAGAGATGAGACACAGCTTTGGATGGCTACCATCAAGTGAGATGAACTCTGCTCTGCAAATGGCAACTTCCACTCTAGAGGCTGGAGAATGGAAACACAAGTGGTTTAACTGGCTTGGCACAGGGCCGTGCATTGAGTCTTCCAGGTCCTGGTACATTGCATTGAGAAATTCCCATACATTGTATTCTTATCTGCACTATCAGTTGAAAAATAATGAAACGAGCCAAACATAAAGCAAATCTAGTTTTCTTCCCTTTCTCTGACATAAATCTGTTGTCATTATAAAGGAGCTCTGCTTTTACTGTCTAGAAGAGAAGGCAGACACACACATTTGTACAAAGACCTACTATATTTCTTTCTTTCCATAACAAAAAAAGCATAGAATTCATGTTATTTTATCAGCAAAAATTATACTCTTTACCTATTATCTGCGATTCTATCCATAGCCAAGTACATTATACTGTAATTAAATTATATTGTATGCATTACCTGTGAAAAGGCTGTAATCATTTCAACATACTATTCATTGAAATACATTAATAAAATACCTATAATGCATGAAAATTGAAATAGATGAAAATACAATATGATATTGTAACTATTTTTAAGGTTTTCCTTCCTGGAAAAGTCCTAGGAATATCATAATTTATGGGCTATGTTATCCTGTCTCCGCTGGTTTCTTAAAATGAGAACGATATGCAAGAGGCTAACAACCTCCTAGAGGTGTCTCAAGGCAGTGCAAGGGGAAGCAGAGTAGGTATCACATCATGAATGAGACTGTATGTAATGATTTTTCCTTTGAGAGAAGAAAGGGAGAAAGGGAGAGGAGTTTCTACATTTTTAGCTGTACTTGATAGGATGGACAACTACTGGAGATGGGGCTGAAGTTCTGATCAATTGGGTCATGTCTCCTAGTGTTGCCTTGCTGAGTTGGGAGATGGTGACCTCCACATGGAGGGGTTGAAACCTTCATTGACTTTAAAGGGGGTTTCATAATTAATTCAAATGGGCCACATCTTACCACTACTATTCTCTTTGGAATGATTTGCATCTTTGAATGATTAAGGATTTCCCACTAATATCTGTAGGCATAATGTTACGATGTCAGAGGTCTCACAAGCAAAACCTAACTGTTTTATCAACTCCCAGATTTTCATGAGTGAGTTTATAATGGATGCAAAGCTCTGTCTTGAAGAAGTTTGACTTTTCTTACTGCACAGTCTTCCAAGAAAAGGGTTTTGCGCGTGATCAGCTAAATGTGAGCCTAATTCTGGCTTTATATAGAAAGCAGTTAACAATTCACTCAGCTGTAAGTGGAAAACCTTGTTATTTGGGCTGGGGGTAAGAAGGATGCAGGATGTTTTTACCCTTTCTTATTGGAAGCTGGATCCCATGTGACTTAACTACATTAAACTGATAAGCCTTGTAGACCTGTGCAGATTTGATTGAATGACAGAGATGACTTTGACAGGCTTGAGAAGTGGGCACCATGTGAACCTCATGAAGTTCAACAAGGCCAAGTGAAAGGCCCTGCACCTGGGTCGGGGCAACCCCCAGTATCAATACAGGCTGGGGGATGAAGGGATTGAGAGCAGCCCTGCCGAGAAGGACTTGGGGGTACCGGTGGATGAAAAGCTGGACATGTGCCGGCAATGTGCACTTGCAGCCCAGAAGGCCAATTGTATCCCGGGCTGCATCAAAAGAAGCATGGCCAGCAGGTCGAGGGAGGTGATTCTGTCCCTCTACTCTGCTCTGGTGAGACCCCACCTGGAGTACTGCGTCCAGCTCTGGAGCCCTCAGCATAAGAAAGGCACAGACTTGGTGGAATGGGTCCAGAAGAGGGCCACAAAAATGATCAGGGGGATGGAACACCTCTCCTATGAATAAAGGCTGAGAGAGTTGGGGTTGTTCAGCCTGGAGAACAGAAGGCTCTGGGGAAACCTTATGGCAGCCTCTCATTATACAGAGGGAGCTTATATGTAAGACAGAGATAAACTTTTTAACAAGGCCTGTAGTAACAGGACAAGGGGCAACTGTTTTAAACTGGAAGAGGGTAGGTTTTGATTGGACATAAGGAAGACATTTTTTACAATGAGGGTAGTGAGACACTGGCACAGGTTGCCCAAAGAAGCTGCAAATGCCCCATCCCTGGAAGTGTTCAAGGTCAGGTTGGATGGGGCTTTGCGCAACCTGGTCTAGTGAAAGATGTCCCTGCCCATGGCAGGGGGTTGGACTAGATGATATTTAAAGGTCCCTTCTGACCCAAACTGTTCTATGATTCTATGATGTCTAAACACAAATGAATACAATGCATACAGCATCAAGTTGTTGATTTTCTGATTTTAAATACTTGCATGCAAGGATGATGGTTGGTTTTGTTTTTCTTTTTGCTTACTATCTTTGCACAATTCTCTTTTCATTAGAGCAGACCACAAATCTAGAGAAAATCCTGCACATACCTGTTTCTCCCCACTGGGCTTCTTGTGGTTTAACAGCAGCTCCACGGCACCAACTACCTCCTTTCGTATGGCATGCAACAGAGCGTCTCCCACATATACATTAAAACTTAAGAGCAGCTCAATGAGCTCAAGGTTCTCATTTTCAATTGCAATAAGGAGTGCAGTTCTTCCCAGGGGATCAATGCAATTAATATTGATCTTGAAATAAATTTCTGCTTCCTCCAAAGCTTTCTTTACACTGGCATAATCTCCTTTCTCCACGGCGTTCAGATAGGCTTTCTCTGAATGAGACAGTTCGGACTCTGCCCGTACAATACGAAGAGGGATACGATCTCTGTAGGGAGCATTGACGTCTCTTTTGTAGTAGAACTGGGCCATATTTTATGCCATTCTAATACTTTGTCTCTGCAATATGAAAAGAAATATTAAATCAATAATATATTTTGGAGGTACGGTGCACCAAATTAATATTTGCAATATATAAGTATTTAAAACTCATACTAAAAAGTGATGTTGAAACAAGGACAAATGGTGTCTATTGATAGAACTTGTAAGATCACCAGCAAAATGTGGAAACCACAGCATATAACCGAGTTGTTGCAACTTACCAAGTCAAAGCCTATCTGTCAGCATACCATTCGCTTGTATGTATTCCTTAAACCTGTGTCAAGCACGAGGTGATATGATACAATGTAGTTTGCACCAAATATGTAGCTCCACTTCCTTCTTAATTTCTTCATTAAGTTCCACTACCTCGTTTCCCACAGTTTAAAAGTATGCTCATACACAGTTGCTGCTGCTCAGTAGACTACAGGACACTTAACACCTTTTAAGCCTGATTGTGGTAGTGGTTATGTCACTTAGAGATTGGTTCAGTTGCCCATCTAAGGTACCTAGGCCTCTTTGAGATGCACTGGTTATCCCATCTGCACTCCAGCACGGCTTGGGTCTTTCACAAGGCCTGTGCACATTTGGTACCTCCATGCAGATGTCTCTGATATCCTACACAACCCAGGCATCACTCAATGCTTGTGTGTGGACAACTAAATACAGCCCTCCTTACCTGTTTCTTTAGCTTGGGCAGAAAGAACATGTTGGAGTTGGAATAGTTATTAGCATTTACATCTTCCTAGTGCTGCTGAAATACCCTGACTTATCTGTGGCAGGCACGGATTGCACAGTTCAGTGGTGAGCTTTCCTACTAAGATTTTGATTCAATCTCAAATGCTGTTAGAAAAACATTCATATAAAATGCTTTCCAACCACCACTTACTAACCTACAAATTAGAATTCAGAGCCTAAAAGGAAAAACAAAATCCATATAAGATAAATTTCCAAGGACTGGTAGATAATAATCATGGTTTTGATTCTGAACTATTCAGTTCTAAACTAGAATTAATACTGAAACACTGCAACCATAGAACAACTCTAAAGTCTTACATATAATAAAACATTTAATGCCTCTGCTTTTACTCTGTATACTTTGTGCAAGGACTTTGCAAAAATAATTCCTTCTAACAGGATGATTTTCTCCTGGCTCTATCTTCTATCTGAAAAAAAAAAGAAAAGGAAAAGAGGGAAGAGGGAAGAGAAAAATTTGACTTAAATGAATAGGGTATACTAAAAATATTTCCTTCTGCAGTTCAATTAGAGGTTGAACTGCTTATTAGTCAAAGAACTGCAGTTTCTTGTCATTTTCTCTGCTGACAACGCAAGTTGCAGTAACCCACTGCCTTTTCCTCCATTTCCTTCAGGCATTAAAAAAAATCTCTGTTGAGATCCTAATTTGGAAAAGATAATGTGTATTTTTATTATTGTGAGGTTTTGATTTATCAAAAAGTTCACTAAACAATGAGGAACATAGTAATTAATCTGTTCCAGTCTCTTTACACAGTGCGATGAGAGGTAAGTACAAAGGCTATTGCTAAGTTTTCTTTGTTTTCCAGAGCAGATCAATAGGGCTTGAGGTAGGCAGGAGACAGCAAAGGAGTCACATTAGAAAGAATTCCCCTCCAGATCCATATACAGGAGCTGAGCAGTTGCAATCCTTTGCAAGATGTTTCCCAGTTCTCCCTTCAAGATGGCATTGGTCTGCAGTCTGGGCTACTAGAGGTTGCACAGTCTGTGGATTATGTTCTGTTAATCTCACCCTAAGTGAAAAAAAGTACATATCCATTGCAGTGTTTTGTACCCCTGGAACAGAGTTATCACATTCTTATTGTTAATGCACTGTATTTTACCAGTTTGCTTTTCATCCTTGTTTTTCAAATTGCAAGTTCAATTCAAGAAGAAAAAAGTGTCGTGTATGTTCAGCTCCAAATTAACAGACTTAAATGTAGATGTTCACAAGTAGGTATCTACAAGAAAGGTGGGTTGCTATATCCCATTACAGCCATGGAGATTTAGGGCTCCATTCCACTGCTCACAAATTGTCATCTGGTGCAGGATGCTGAAGGGCATCCTGCCTGACTCCAGCTGCCACCTCAGAATGACTTAGGTCTCACAAGGGGCCTATTTCATATCTGTCAGGCAGATGATGGGTTAACCAACAACAATGCACAAACATTATTCAGTTTCTTAATATCTACAAAGAGTTCCTCAAGACCCCTGGAGAAAATTGAGTGACTGCAACTGGAAGGTTATTGCTAAAAGCTCCTCTCTTGAAAGCACAGGAACAAATAAACAGATCATTGCCTCCCCATTTCTTGGGAGTTAAACCAGCAATTATTCTGGATCAATGAAACTGGGTATCATAGAGATGATTATGGTAGAAGAAGAGTACAGCGATTTACAGATGGGATCTATTATGATTTCATTAGAATGATTTGGGTTTTTTTTGTTTCTTTGCTTTTGTGATGTCTGGGGAAGGTCTATTATTGCTTCATCGTAAGCCCCAGAGAAAACACTTGCTGGAACCTCTTGCGTTCACTCTTCATAATTCTTGAATAGGGAAAATTAGATCTAAGCTTAGTTTGTCTCTTTCAGAAGAGAGGAAGAGGAGCTCTACTTTCCAGGCTTCTCATTGACATGAATTTCAGCACAGAATCATAGACTCATTTAGGTTGGCAAGGACTGTTAAGATCATTGAGTCCAACTGTTAACCTAGCACTGCCAAGTCCACCACTAAAACATGTCCCTAAGCACCACATCTATACATCTTTTAAATACCTCCAGGGATGGTGCCGCCACCACTTCCAGGGGCAGCCTCTTCCAATGCTTGACAACCCTTTTGGTGAAGAAATTTTTCCTAATATCCAACCTAAACCTCCCCTGGCACAACTTGAGGCCATTTCCTCTCATCCTATCGCTTGTTGCTTGGGAGAAGAGACTGACACCCACCTCGCTACAACCTCCTTTCAGGTAGTTGTAGAGAGCGAGAAGGTCTCCCCTCAGCCTCCGTTTCTCCAGGCTAAACAACCCCAGTTCCCTCAGCGGCTCCTCATAAGCCTTGTGCTCTAGACCCTTCACCAGCTTCATTGCCCTTCTTTGGACACACTACAGCACCTCAATGTCTTTCTTGTAGTGAGGGGCCCAAAACTGAACACAAGAGCTGTAAGAGCTAGGAGTAGTGAGCAGCGGTAAAGAAGTCTCCATTTGCTTTGAGTTCCTCTGCAGGAACAAAAGTCTAAAGAAACAAGAGGTCCAGTACACTAGACCAGCGCGAGGGGAATTAAAGGAAACAAAAATTTATGGTGCAAAACTTAGCAAAACTGGAATTATAGTTTCCACAGAGTCCATACACCTGTCAGAATAAAAATACTTCAGAGAAGAGATAAAGACAAAATAACTTGCCCTGAAAATAGGAATATAAGCACCCATCAGAAACACATTGCAACCAGAAGCCACTAAACACCATGTGACAGATTGTACCTGAGCCATCCAAGTATTCAGACTCATGGGGCTCAAATTCATATCCTGGAGGAATTCTTTTGGTCTTGTGTTTCTTTATTGAACTTGAGGGGAATTAGGGACTGGGAAAGAAGTTCAAGATAAAGACAGGAATTGATCTTCAATATTGTTCTGCTCTTACCTGTCATCCCCATAATCCTGACTGGGTATATTTAAGACGTGCCATAACTAATGCAATATATTCAACATTTAGAGGAACCTTCTCTGACTTGAGGAAGAACAAATAATGGACTTGGTAAAGCAAAATAAATTCTTTTGATCAGTTTGGAGAAATATCACAATACCCTCTTTCTACATAATCTGTGGGTTGGTTTGTATTTTTTATAGGAAAAACAAACTATTACAACTGGCTTTGCAAGACATTTGATGATTCCTCTGACCAAACTGATAGCACTGAAAATTACTACTGCTTTAAGAAGTAATAGTACATTGATCAGTATTCTGATCTACTAATCCATGCTCTAATCCAGATGAGGGACTTAGTTACAGCACTTACAATAAAAGAGCTAAAACCTAATAATGTCAAGCTGTGCAAGGATGAAACTTACTCTTTAAGACACTTTGTACGAAGAGATTACATAAGATGCTATGTCTCTGGAATACCTGAATAACTAGGCCCCAACATGCACAGAATATTTTGAAATTGTGGTGACTAACTGTAAACCCAGCTGTGAAATGTTTTAGGAAAAAAGCCTCACTGCGTGCAAAAAGAAGAGGAATTCATTTCAAAAATAATCTTTACTAGATAATTATGTCATAGCTGAAAATACATCTGTTTTGAAAGGGCATGTTTCTCCAAACACAGTTAAAAACCAATAAAACACTTAGCCTAACTTTCCCACAACTAGAAAAAACAAACGAGCATCAAATAGGGTCAGATATTTAGGTGATGAATGGATTGAGAGCAGCCCTGCTGAGAAGGACCTAGGAATGCTGGTGGATGAAAAATTGGACATGAGCCGGCAATGTGCGCTCGCAGCCCAGAAAGCCAACCATATCCTAGGCGGCATAAAAAGAAGCATGGCCAGCAGGTCGAGGGAGGTAATTCTCCCCCTCTAACCCACTCTGGTGAGACCCCACCTGGAGTACTGTGTTCAGCTCTGCGGTCCTCAGCACAGGAAAGACACGGACCTGTTGGAGCGGGTCCAGAGGAG